AAAAAAAAAACTTCGTTCATGGAATCAAGCGGTCGGAAGGAAATGTATTTTAGCAGATTTGATAGATTTAGGATCAAATTTGGTTGAAGATAGTATAATATTTTTAAGCGTTTCGTCACTATCTGAAATTGTAGCTATAGTCAAGGTGGAAGGTTTGAATGACATAGATTAATCTACAGTAATCTCATCACCTTAGATCTAGGAAAGAAAGCGAGATGGTGATAAAGAGTTACACGAAGCAATTGCGTCCACTGCATGTAGAGCCATGGAGTTTGTCAATGGCAACGGGAAAACCAAGAAGTGCAAAAGGTAATCTATGTCACAATCTTTTGTCAATGATACTTAAGTATTCTTCAGTGTTTCGTTGGAGAGAGAAACTAGAATCATAAAAACTTTTTATTTTCTGTTTAATACTTATTAGTTTCCCAAATATACCTACAAAAAAGTCCCATTTTTGAATGTCAAAGTAGGAGGAAACTGCTTTTATTCTGTTTATAATGGTTTAGCCTTCAATGCTTACTCCAACACCATGTGTTTAATTTTTGTAAGTGATCGTTAAATGATATCACTTAAGCTGGGAAAGAAAAGGACTTGCTTCGCTCAACGACTTCAAGTCGGCTGCTGGAACCCACTTTGTCAAGGAGATGAAGCCTGTGATTTGCGAAAGTCAAAGTCCTACTGTGAGTTATGTTCTTGTTCCAAGTGTTATCATCTTGATATCACTTTTAGAAAACTGGTGATGGTTGTGAGAGCACAGCAAACGCAGATAGTCATCAACCATCGAAACGATATCTAGGGGATAAGTGAGTAGTTGTGACCTTTATGGCTAATTTGTTAACATCACTTAATTTGCAGGAAAATCACGCCAATGTTTAGTGTTCCGCCAATGGTACGGAAAGGATTAGAAATGATGGATGTCAATGGTGGTGCTGGAGGTACGGACAAAACATTTGTCTTTTTATAAGCGTTATCTTCAGTAGTATGTACTTGTATTGCATTGTTAGTAGTTGTCAATAGTAACAAGAGGTTTTTTT